TATATAGCCTTTAAAGTCTAACACATTTACTATCTGGCCTTACATATAATGTTTGTAGATGAGTAGAAACAAAACCTTTTTTTTTTGCAAACATTAACAAAGTTGATGTTTAATGATCTATGATACTCCCAGAAGTTTACACTTTCCCCAGTGATGGGGAAACAAAAACACTATAAAAGCATAAATGACTGATGGCAATTCCCACATTAAATCCCTGTGAAAGTATTTTTAAACAGCCATGAGCCTATCGCATTCTTCATTCTGTTACTAAATTTCTTCTCAGTCATCCTGAAGTATATCTACATAACTGACAAATCCATGTGCTATAAGCGTGGAGAAACCAAAACTTCAATGTTCAAAAAAAAAAAAAACCAACCAAACAAAAATCCCTGTATTTCTGAGTCATATCAAGACTATAGACTTTTGTCCTTTTTGGAGAGAAAACAGTATCTCTAGATCTTAAAAGTGCTATCCTGTGGGACTAGTCTCATTTCAATCTCTTTTCTAACCAATGAACCAGCTTTCCATCATAAATCACAATACCATAAAAGTATCACTCTACAAATTAAAAATAAGCTGAATGAGAACTCTCTTCTATTTTGGTTTATTTTGATTCCCAATAAATGCTTCACATATCCAGTTTGACTAAAATAAAGTAAAACCGCAGTGCCACCTTTCCTACTATGATTATGACAACAACCATTTGGCTAGCCATACACTTTATCTCTAATACTCTCTAAACACCTGTATTGGGTAGTTTTAAGACAAAAAGACTTTGGACCACATGCATTCTGAGGCTTAGAGAATGGCTTTATATTCCACAGTGAGGTTTCATACTTAGGTTGATGAACAAAATCTAAAACCTAATAGAGAAATCAACTTTTTCCTGGAAATACGTGACCTAAACCATTCACCATCTGTTGAACTTGCCATGTAAGAATAGAGACAAAAATTAGCACCAAGGATCTCATAAGAATTGGAGAGCGCACCCAAAAGAATAAACACACATGCACATTTTTTCATTAGGTAAATATTTCAGCCTGAGAAAGTCCCAGGCTTTCTTTTGACCTCAGAATAGCTCTTAATAATTGTAAATCACATTCAGAATCATACAACATAAATTTATTTATGTTGACAGAAACAGCAAGAAAAACCAGTTAGCAGTAAATCAAGTAAAATTACAGAACTGAAACATCAAATCCTGTGGGAAGCCTGAGCCCTTGGGACTAAATTTTATGGCATGGCTTCTTGCAGAAATCTTGCAGAAGTCATGCTACAGATATAATCCAGACCTCTTAGCAGAGACTGTTATTTCCATTGCTGTGCTTCATAGGCTCTATAAGAAAGACCCGGATGAGCTAAGCTCAGCTGCCTATAATAATTCACACCCAACGTTTCACACTGGGTGGGTCAAACAGTGAGTCTCAGATATGACCCTGCAGGCCAGTTCTGTGGCGTAAGGGCTCTGAAAAGGAACAGCGGCCTCTGTGAGCACTTCTGTCTGGAAGAAAGCTGCCCTCCACCTCTAAACCTCATGCTGGACAATTCAGTTCTTCTCTGTATGCCTCTGATGCCTTTCAATCTGCTGTCCCCACGCTGGAGCTCAGAGGGAGAGAGTCCATGTAAATCTGTGTGTAGGCCCTTTAAGAGGAACTTCCTGGGATTCCGGAAGTTTCTGTCTTCCACAGCCTCAATCCCTGCTGGTTTTTACAGCCTGAACTAATGAATATCTTCCTGACACTGGAGTCCTGGGCTGGGGAGCCTGGAGTAGGGCTAAGACTCCTTGTTCCTCAGATAGCTCTCCTGATTTTTGCCCACCACACGTGAGTGTGGGGCCAGCCCATTCCATGCCTTGCCCCTCCTACTAGACTGGATGTATTTTTTTCTTTAATTCCATAGTTGTAGGACTCACCTTCAGCTTGATTTCTGATAGGTCTGAATGATGATTGTTCTACAGCTTAGTTCTTCTCTATAAGTCTCCATAAATTGATGTGGTTGTGTGAGGAGACAAGCCACATTTACCTATACTGCCATCTTGAGCAGAAGTCCCAAACAGCTTTGTTTTTATTTCAGGGCCTTATCACTCTAATGGATTTAATCTAACAGCACTGACAAACTACCTAGGGCCCAGCTTCATAGGATATCATTTCCTGCTCTATAAAAGAATTCTTATCAGGAGCTAGAATCTTGCAGTATGAACAGGAAATAAAATTCATTCTGCAATTTGTGACTTGCTGGTTTAGGAAGTAGGGTCTAGAATATAAAACATAGTAACAACTCCCAAAACAACAAGTTAGGCTGAGAAGCTTCATAATAACTGAGTTAAGCATGCATATTCCTCACAGCACACACTTATTTCATCTGCCAAAATCTGTTCAAGGAGCCCTGACTGGTATGGTTCCATGGGTTGAAAATCATCCCCCAAAACAAAAGGGTGCCAGTTCGATTCCCAGTCATGGAACACGTCTGGGCTGTGGGCCAGATTCCTTGTCAGGGAGGGGTGTGTGAGAGGCAACTGACCGATGTTTCTTTTGCACATCAATGTTTCTCTCCCTCTCTTTCTCTCTCCTGTCCCCTCCCTAAAAATAAAATAAAGGGTTGAAGGCTTATTTTCATGTTGAATTCAACCTAGACTACTGTGGAGTCCAGGCCACTGAACTCTTTCTCCTGTATTTACTGCAGTAACCTGATGCTATTTAAATTTTTCTTTTCCCACTACTGTCTTTTCTAATCTTTCCTCACTCAACATTCAGTGATCTTTCTAATATACAGACCTGCCTATGTGAAGCCCAGATTAAAACCTTTCAGTGGCTTTGCAATGTACTTAGTATAAAATCCAAATCAGTCCTATTTGGTCTGACTGCATCCCAAACTCTCTAGTCCCCTTTTATGTCACTTTCCCCCTTACTCTCTATTCTCTAGCTGTATTACGCTTCTCTCACTTCCTCAAACTCACAGTGCTAGTCTAATTTAGATGTGTCACCTACGTGCTCTCACAATAGCATGTACAAGACTTTGTTATAACATTTTTCCACTTTATTGTATTCACTGGTTGGTTTGTCTTGCCTCACTAGAATGTTAGCACCTCATATGGCAGATGGACCATACTTTATTATTATTGCACTTGGAGTTTCTCATAGTGTGAGTCAATAAATGCTTGTTGAGTGACTGCCTGACCAAATGAAAGAAACTATAGAAGACAGCAGGAGGAAGAGCTAGACTATGGAAAGATAATGTTTGTTTTTAAATACATTAATTTTGAGGTGGTATTGGTTTGATAGAGTAGAAATGGGCTAGAAGTTAATAAAGAGATCACATTGCAGATAACAATTTTATCCAATGACAGAACTAGTAAGTGTTCTTAAATGATTTAACGAGGTAATTGTTTCAATGGCTTAGTGATCAGAATGGAGTTTCAAAACTGAATTAAAACAAAATCTAAATTTCAGAAAGGTGTATGATTTTGAGTAACAGAATGAAAAATTACAAAATAACTTTAATTTATAATTCAAACATTCTTAACATATATAAAATAATTTAATTATACTATCATTTGGAGCATTATTAAACAAATTTGTATTATCTTTAGATTACTGGGGCCAAAAGAAAGTAATTCTGTTGGCTCCTTATCAAACTCAAGAGATCAGATCACAAGAAGTTGAGTCTTACCAAATTTAATACACTTTAATTTTTATCATGTAACTAAGAGTTGCCCATTAAGTACTGAGAGCATACAGGTGTTATTTTTATTACTATTATGCTTTTTACTAATATTCTATGATTTTCAGCAGATTGCTTTCTTAACATATAAACTGAATATTTAACACTGAAGCCTGGTCTCATGAAGACACCCCACAGCTGCTGCCACCACCTGCACTGCCACCACTGCCACCACACATACTTCTTTTTCTAGACATTAGGTTCATGGATAACCCTATAGTACACATACGTGTACACACTTTAATTTCAGTTCCCTTCTTGGTGCTGGTAAAATTTAAAGGCAAACCTCACCAGCATTAATTACTTTTAGTATGTATGTATATTATCTATACAATAAGTATTTTTAAAAGTAGTATTGATGATCAATACAATCAGAAGTAATTAGGTAAAATGTACAAGGCTATTCACATTTCTAAGACTGAAATTCTATTATACTCACAAAGCAATCTTTCAATGTGCATAATACCAAACCAAATTCCTATTCATTCTAATCATACAAAGTTAACTTTAAATCTTGCATGGTATGTACTTAGCTGATTTTTAAGTCCAAGAATTCAAAGTTTTTTTAATAATTTTTAAAATTTTAAATTGGGGTAAAAAAACACACTAATAAAATGTATCATCTTAACCATTTTTAAGTTTCCAGGTCAGTAGTGGTAAGGATATTTACACTGTAGTGCAGCAGATGTCCAGAACTTTTTTATCTTGCAAAACTGAAACTCTACCCACTGTATATGGGTATACACTCCCCATTTTCCTCTCCTCCTTCTGTCTGTTGCTTTGAATCTGACTACTTTAGATACCTCACATAAGTGGAAGCGTACAGTTTATCTTTTCATGACTGGCTAAATTCACTTATCATAATGTCCTCAAGGTTCATTCACATTGTAACATGCAACAGGCCTTTCTTCCTTTCCAGTGATGAAAAACATTGCACTGTATGTAGTATACACCACATTTTATTTATCTATTAATCCATCAATAGACATATGGGTTGCTTCCGCCTCTTGGCTATAGTGAATAATGCTGTTTTGAGCATGGGTGTGCAAAAAATCTCTCTTTAAGATAAAATGTTTTAAATCAATTTTATCCAATGATATAGTATTTCAAACAAAAGATCTGCATTGTGTTAGTGATAAGCAGTTATATGAAGAATATACAAAACAAAATATGATAATGGAAAAGAACAAAAAAATAAAACTGCAGTTAAGCATAACACATTTCTAATTTTGTATGGACAATGACTATTCATCTTAAATAGCAAAATGTAGCCCTCTTACCGGTAATTATTACACCACCGTCTTTATGAGTTTCAGCCATCTCTTGAACACAGACTTCTGAGTTCACATCAACTTCTTTTCCTGATAACTGTAAATGAGCTTGAAGAGAAGATGCAACCTTGACGAGAATAGAGCCTGTAATAAGTTTATAAAAGAGCTTATTAATGCAAAGAAATCAAAAGTACCGAAGTCTACTTCAAAAATGAATGATTGAGTAGCACTCCTCCTGGTACAGTCTTTATTCCTTAGTATATTTTCTTAAACGGCCGTGTCTTTTGCTTACTCTCTGGTGGTCAATGTTTCCTTACCCCAAGGCATTCATAGTAACTTATGTCAAGAGTGTGTTATTAGGATATTATAAACTACTATTTCTTCTTTTTCCAAAAGCCCTCATCACAGAAAAATGATTTATTACACATGAAGTTTATAGAAAGGATTTACCATTAATCGAGCATATACTAAGGTGTAATGTAATTACGCCTTAACTATTGTACTTTTATCTCCTTTAATATCCACATCAACTTTATGAGATATTATAATCCTGGTTTTATAGATGAGAACTTGCTCAAGTTCTCACTGGAGCTAGTGTTGGAATCTAGAGCCACTTCAGTGACAACAAAGCCTATGCTCTTAACCACTGTGGTATTTCACACACCACTACCTCATCTTATGACAGAACTTGTGACCTCACTGATCATTATAATTCACCTAGAACCCTGAGCTCTCATGCTTTCAATTGTACCTTGTTGGGAACAGGGGGATAACAATAATAAGAAGAAGATAATATTTGAATTTTAACTATCTAATGTTTCTTTTCAGTGGATCACAGTCTTTTGGGTACCTGAAGCCAGACAATAAACTTTATTTCCACTATAATCTTGTAGCAATTCAAGCTTCTAAAGGAAGAAATTTTTTAAAAAGTACTGTTAGCTAAGGAAGCATTTTCAAAACAATGATGTGGGTTATACTGCAAACTCACTAGCACACTCCTCTGTCAGAAGTTTTCTTTCACTGTTCCTCATATATTCATAAAGTTTTGAAATGTATGGCCCCTGCCATAAACATTAACCCCACCTCTGTGGACAAGATGGTCAGGATGACATCCATTGTGAATAATGTAGGTTCCTTTTAGAATGCACTTATTTATGGGTCATTGTTTGCTTTCTAGTTTGCTTAATATCAGCTTAAGTAACTTCATATCTTCTTAGCCTTCCAAACTGAAGCTAGAAGTTTGGGGTAAGACTGATGAACTCTCATATTTATTCCTCAAAAAAGGGGAGAACAAAGCATATCACTACAACTGGTTTATTTTATTTAAAAAACAAATAGCTTTTCAGAGCTTAAATGTAAACTACTGACAGGAGATTCCCCATAACATCATATATGAAAACTTTAGGGAAAAAACAACTGAAAAACTTTTAGATGAATAGAAAATACATGTTTTTCTACCAAACATACTTTAAAAAGTAGAAAATAATAGATTGTAAAAACTTTTTAAGGACTTTATATCTCAAAATACATCATATGTGATTTTCTCTGTTCTTAAATGAATAAAAAAATCTTAAATCTGTGAGAGCTTTAAAAATGTTAAGCCATGTGAATAGTTTTATTCCCCATTCTTTCCGTATCTTCAAAAACAAAAACCAGCTCTATCAATGCTCTAGTACTATTTGTGAATTAAGAATTCTCATGTCTTAAAAACTCCCAAATGTCCCCTTTAACATGGTATTTTTTAAGAAAGAAAAGCATCATCTAATGAAGACATATTATACTGAGATTAGTGGTTTTATCAAGACAAACTTTAAGTGGAAAAGTCAATATTCAGATGCAGGCCTGACCAAGCCTAAACACGGCCTTTCTGAATGAATTAATAAGATCCCATGATTTTCACAGGGAGAACGAAAACAAGCATTTTAACACTTTTTCAAATGGCAAAATATTGAAGCCCTAAGAGACTCAAGTGGCTGGCCCCTGAACCCTGTAGCAAGACAGAGGTACAGGTGGAAAGGATTCCAAATGTCTTTACTAAACATCAAGCACTAGAACCCTGAGTAAATTTCCATTTCTCTAAAAAAGTTACTGTTGCCAAATGTAATGAGAATTACAAGTAAGACAGAAATCTCTGCTTCCAGTTATCTTTAAGCTTCTGCTAGTAACACAGTTCCACTAGGAGAAAATGTAAAATTGTAATCTTAATCAAATTTTGTGACATCATATGCCATTTCAATAGGTTACTGAAAGAACATTCCAAATAACACTCAAAAATATTTCAGGTGGATGAAGATTAACAATCCTTCCTTTGTTTGTTTTAGTTTTCTGTGCCTCCATACAAAACAGGAAAAAAATTTCATGTGAGAGCTAATTAACTCTGTTCCTAGTTACATTAAATGCAGTAATGGTTTCTTTTCTTCTCCTTTGGTCTTCATAATAAGAAAACGCAATTATATGACTACTTTGGCATTCACAAAATACTCTGAATACCATTATTGAAGATCTTAGAAATTTAATCAGAACATATTATTTAGAGGAAAAAAGTGTGATCTTAAGAAATGAAATCACACCTACGTATCAGCGGTAACTTCAGTTTCAGAACCTCTGTTTTTGTACTTTTATACTCACACTGTGACAAGTTAGCCTCATTGACAGAAGGAAAAAAATAATAATTAAACCAATGGGGTAAATAAATTACTAACAGCAGGAACAACTGGTCTCTGAAAGGAAGTATTTTCCTTGTTACACATATTATCCTGATCTGGCCAATATGAAATAGGTTCTAGGATTTACTTTAAAAATTTTTATAGAGTTATGGTTCTTAGAGCCATAGAGTCTACCATAGAGTTATGGTTCTTAACTTTCTGCACCCAGGCCACTTCAGCCCTAGTGACCAAGATACTCCAAGTACATAGGCCACTTGCCACCATGCATGTGTCCATGGATATGTACACAGTCTTCAGATTACTACAAAGAATATCACTTTTATTTTTTAAAGATATTATTTATAAATAATATTAATTTTATTTAATATTATTAAATAAAACAATTTATGCTGTTATATAAATAACAGTATATTATATATTAAAATAATCTATATTATTTATATTTATAAATGATATAAATTTATATTATTTATATTATTTACTATTTACATTATTTATTTATATTTTGAAAGATTTTATTTATTTATTTTTAGAGAGAGGGGAAGGGAGAAAGAAAGGGAGAGAAAGATCAAAGTGCAAGAGATACGACTATTGGTTGCTCTGGCATGCCCCCAACTGAGAGCCTGGCCTGCAACCCAGACATGTGCTCTGACTGGAAACTGAACCAGCAAACTTTGAGTTCACAGGCCAGCACTCAATCCACTGAGCCACACTAGCCAGGACTAAGTGTATTAATTTTAATGAAAGATCTAGAGTCTTAGAATAAATTATTTGTATTAGAAATAATATTATAGGAAAAGACACATAATAAGTAATTTTATTTATTTATTTTTATTGATTGATTTTAGAGAGAAAGGAAGTGGGCAGGGACAAGGAGAAAGAGAAAGAGAAAAAGAGAGAGAGAGAGAGAGAGAAACATCAATTTGTTGTTCCACTTATTTATGTATTCACTGGTTGATTCTTCTATGTGCCCTGACAAGAGATCAAACCCACAACCTTGGCTTACTGGGATGACGCTCCAACCAACTGAGCGATCTGGCCAGGGCCATACAATAAGTCTTGATACTTTAAGAGACAAGCCAACAAACTCGTTAGAGGTCTCTCCTGCTAATACCTTTACTTCAGGATCACATTTTGAAAACTATTACTCTAGAGTCATGGCCTCAAAAGGTCCTCTTACAGTAGCCATAAAACTTTCAAAAGAATGGATGAGAGCATTTTTCAAATAATACTCTATTTCAAAACAAAAGTTAAACTGAAAAACCCACACACTAAAACATTTTACAATAATAGTCAATAGAATACAATATTTTTGTTTGCACTACAAAGGGAAAGAAAGTCTTCATGGCTCTGTTCCCAAAGTTTCAAAGATCATCAGTCTACAAGACTAGTATTCCAGTCTCTAAATCAGGTTCTATCAGAAGAAAGTTTCTTGAAAACACTTTGTCAGTACTATAAATAAGATAATTTGACCATCTGTTTCCTGAATGTTATGTAAAACCTTCCTTACACGGGGTCAAAGTAAAACAGTTCACTTGGCAAACCTTCATGGGACTTCAATTCCACCTTCCCCAGTTGGCTGACATAAACATCCAAGGCACCCTGATGAGTTGAGGCTTTTAGACATCCAGAGCACGAATCTGGGAGGAAGGAAAAAGACATAAACATGATAATCCTTATTTGAGTAAATGGAATTATAAAGTTGAACTAAAAAGCTCTGCTTCAGCATTAGGATAAGGAGCTAAGAGTCTTCCAAAGTTTGGTTTTTTTTTTAACAATTTTCTTACAACTATTCCATGTTCTGTTTCAAAATGAAAACAAAGCCAGAAATATAGTTATACACCTAGACAACTTAAAATTCCTATGTCTATAGTAACCTGCATAACTTATCTCTAAACATCTAAGGCATCCTGTCTAAACATGTTTACTCTAAACCCTAATGTGCAGGAAGGACAGTACATAAACAATGCATCCTTGACAGCCAAGACCATGGCTTAAGCATCACTGGTACATTTAACTTATTATCAACTTTCAAACTTTACTGAAGAATTTTATCTTGTGTAGAGTCACATATAAGCAGTGGCAAAGTTAACAAAAATCAAAACCTTGTATTTTCTCCCTTTAGCAAATCTGCTACTACTTAAAAGTGTTGCTCAGAATGAAAGATTACATAAGGTTTTGCTGCATTTCTGAGAGGGACAGAAGTGGGGACAGGGAATCAATTGAAAAGTGGGTAAAGCTTTTTATACCTAAATATTTCTTTTCAAATTTCTGGAATTGAACAGATATTTTAAGTAAGGGGAAGAAAATCACAATTAAGGTGGTCCTGATTTCATACTTAAAGTTCCTTATGTGATCAATGACTTCCATTTTTCAATTAGCCAACATCTCAAGTTCAAGACAGACGATAAAGAAGTAAGCAAATGATGTTGAAGAGTCAGTACTAAGTAGCTTCTCCTTTTTTCTCCTCACCCATGCATGGCAAAAGCCAAAGCATGCATATATGTATGTATATGTACATGTATGTGCATGTGTATGTGTGTGTATACACACACATATTTTTTTAGAGAGGCCTCTGAAAAAGCGTATTTTTCTGGAGCTTTCATTACTTCAAAGTGGAAACAAAGTAAGTAGGCAGTATGATAAAACTACTGCCAAAAATTATATTACTACACTTTTTATAACATATGGAGTCAACACTTTTCTTTAAATTTTACATGACTCAAAAGACAACTTGGGAATAAACTGTTTAAAATCTGACTCCAACATAATTTATAGTAATTTATTTCTAGTCTATACTGAAAAAATGGTCTTTATCAGAATCAATTTATTTAACTTAAAAATTTTAATTATACTTGGCATACAATATTATATTAGTTTCAGGTGTACAATATATTGATTCAACATTTATTTACTTTTTTTTAATTCCCTTTATTTATTTTTTTAAAGATTTTATTTATTTATCTTTAGAGGGGAAGGGAAGGAGAGAGGGAGAGAAACATCAATGTATGGTTGCCTTTCATGCGTCCCCTGCTGGGAACTGGCCTGCAACCCTAGTATGTGCCCTGACTGGGAATCAAACCGCGATTGGTTCGCAGGCCCGCGCTCAATCCACTGAGCTATGCCAGCCAGGGAACATTTATTTACTTTTTAAGTGTCAAAAGATAACTTAAAATACTGGGAAATCAAGCCACTAGGGATAAATAAACATAGAAAAGTTGGACAAAGAAGAATATTGCTCTCCTCAGGAACCAACAGAAACTCCTTTTAAAGTCCTTACTACATCCTAAAAGAAGCCAAGTAAAAATACACTATTATAAAAAATGCAGACTATACAATGTGTGCATTTCCTTGCAATGTGTGCAAGGTTGAACAAAATAAAATATTTGAAACATTGGTTTGATTTCTTGCTTTCTCTAGGAAGAAAAAATACAAAGTTTTTAGGTGGTTCGTAAACAACACTTTACACTTCTCTCCCCTTCCCCCTGCAGATGGGAAATAATCACAGCTACATAATTGTATCCTAAGCCACTAAGTAATTACATTCCCATGTTGTCAGGGTTGAGCTGTGATCATGGCCCATCCCTTGAAGGCTGTCAAAACATTTTTTTACTCAAGGTGTATTTTCAAAAGGAAAAGCAAAGGTAATATAGAAAAAGCTACTTAGTAAAACATACACTAATTTTTTGTTTTCTATAATACAAGTGATTGGAACTGAAAATTATCAAGAGTCAAATTAAGGCTTCATTCACAGAATTTCATATTCTGGAGATTCACATAATGGAGAAATTCTATAGTTCTTGGAGGAAGACTTAAGGGAAATAAGCATTAAAGGGTGATTAAGAACTGAACAGAAATTGTTAGTCCAGACAGTAGAGCATAAGTAGACTTCACAGGTTTGTATCATTACAATTTGGGACACAGATATTGTTGGTCTGTCAGAGACCACTGAGTTTTCCTGGAAAATTACACATACAGAAGGTAAAAACTGATGTCAACTACCAGCTAACACTATATGCAACCAAAAAAATAGGTATTTGTAACATGCACTTTGCTAATAGCAGAGAATAACAAATAAGTTCGAAAGACTAAAATTCCAAACTTGCTATTTTCCTTCAGATAAAGGAGAATTCTCTCAAAATTAGTCAGGCGAATTCAGAAAGTTCTGAATTGCCCTGGCTGGTGTAGCTCAGTGGATTGAGCACAGGCCTGTGAAGCAAAGGGTCGCTGGTTTGATTCCCAGTCAGGGCACATGCCTGGGTTCCAGGCCAGGTCTCCAGTAGGGGACACATGAGAGGCAACCACACACTGATGTTGCTCTCCCACTCTTTCTCCTTCCCTTCCCCTCTCTCTAAAAATAAATAGATAAAATATTTTTTAAAAAAAAGAAAAGGAAAGTTCTGAATTTTTATAATTCTACCTCAAGTTTCAACATGTAGATACTAAGAAAGAGCAACACAAAAGATATTTCTTGATTTCTGAAGCTTGATTCCTATATTTCCAAACCTATACTAATTGCACAAGAAACAAATTTTATATATAGGACTAAATACATGCACCTTAATTTGACTTTAATATTTTTTAGTTGCAATCATTTGTATTATGGTAAAGGATTTGCAAAAACAGAATTTTAAGATCAGTTGAAGTAAGGTTTTCTAAATTAATGTCCTGTCTAGGTATTCTGTTTTTTGGGAAGGCTGGGCTTACAAAAACACACAAGGCAACTTCCCTCCGCTCTACCCCAAATGAAGATGTTCCTTTTTTAAAAGATATAATTACTAGTATACAACTTCTGGCAATGCTATGGGAAAGTAAAGCTAGGTAAACAACTCTGTTAACATCCCTACCCCAACATTATCTATTATCACACTCTGCTCTCTCCTGTTGACTTGTTTGAAATGGATAGAACATGACCTGATGTTCCAGATGAAAGTTATTATTTTTAAAAATGAGTTCAAGGAAAATCAAGGTTTTGATAATCAAATCTTTTCTAGCACTTAAGCTTCTTAGAGAGTTCTGTATTATGAAAGTTAGGAAAAACAGGGTTTTGAGAGGGAGGTTAGGATATATTGGATTGGCCAAAAAGTTTGTTTAAGATTTTATTTATTTATCTTTAGAGGGGAAGGGAAGGAGAGAGGGAGAGAAACATCAGTGTATGGTTGCCTTTCATGCCTCCCCTGCTGGGAACTGACCTGCAGGGAACCGGCCTGCAACCCAGGCATATGCCCTGACTGGGAATCGAACCATAATTGTCTGGTTCGCAGGCCCGCGCTCAATCCACTGAGCTACACCAGCCAGGGCAAGTTTGTTTTTTTCTGTAGGATGGCTATGATAGCACTTTAACTCCATTCAAAGCAATTTTGTTACATTGTTTTGTGACAGCTGTCATATCAGTGTGCATTTAAAAAAGTCAAAATCGGTGAACCTTTGTGTTGCCAAATTGAAAAATAAATAAATAAATAACGTTGAAGATGGAAAAAAGTATTTAACATTTTTGACATATTATGCTTTATTATTTCAAGAAAGGTAAAAACAACTAAAATGTAAAAAAAGATTTATGCAGTGTATAGAGAAGGTGCTCTGACTGCTCAAATGTGTCAAAAGTTTCATGCTGGAGATTTATCGCTGGACAATGCTCCATAGTTGGGTAGAACAGTTGAATCAAATTGGGACATTAATTGACAACAATCAAAATACCATGCAAGAGACAGCTGACAAACTCAAAATGTCCAAGTAAATAAAGTTATTGGTAAAAATGAATAATGTATCTTTTATTTTACAGAAAAAACTAAATGGACTTTTGGCCAATCCAATATATACAAAGTCCAAATGACTGATGAGATTACTTAAGAAGCTGATCAACTACATCACCTAAACTAGAAATAAACATATTTGTCTTAATAAAGAAATGGAGAAGAGTCTATTTTCCTGAAATCAAATAGGATAATACCTAAATCATCTCAAGTTTCTTAATATTCCAACTGGGTAATATTATATAACCTTTTCTCAATACCTATTCCAATATTTTGAAGCTTCTGCTGTAACATATTTCCCTCTCAGGTTCCTACATATCACTTCTTGCTCCTTTATTTTGCTTCCACTAATATCGATTCCTCAAAATCAAAGTTACTCGGTAGATCTTATTTGGTTGTTATGGTTTGTAACAGCTGCCTTCAACTTTCTCAAGCAAATCTTTTGTTTTAAGGAAAACACAAAGCAACCAATCAAGAAATTACAAATAAACATTGTCCACTTGTTACCTTTGGGATTAAGACATCAAACCCAAAATTTCTCCAGTAATAATAATAGGTTTTAGGCTCACAGACACCTCTTGTTTTGATTGATAGAGTTTTATTGGAATATATACACATCTATTTGTTCGTGTATAATCAATGGCTGCTTTTGTGTTAAAATGACAGAGTTATATAGTATGGACAGACTGTGTGGCCCAGAAAGCCAATAATATTTACGATCTGGCCCTTTACACACAAAGTTGGTCGACACAGCAAACAATTTTGTTTGGAGGAAATGAACTTTTCCCCCAAAAACAAAATGTAAAATTCGATTGTATTTAAGACAAAGAGATTTACCTAAATTGGTGAAACTAGATTTTTTCCACATAAGGACTGAGAATTATAAG